GGTTTACAAACATAACATTATTTCGACTGAGTTTTTATCCTTTCAACATGTCCGACAATACGATCTACCATCAGCTGACGGGGACTACACTCTATTCAAGTAGACAAAATGGTATCAAACATGTAAAGATAAATGTTTAGGTTTCCATTCAAAAAATGCAAATTGACACGCAAGTGTCTGTTTATTTAGAAGCGAGTGATTAATTCATTAAAACGATTTGATCAGATCAAATGACCTGTCGTGATTTCTCCGCGCAATTAAATAGAATGGGCAACGTAAAGTATTCAGTAAGCAGACAAAACCTTACGTTCCTTTCTCGAATTATGTCCCACTTATGACACGTGGACAATGAGCGCCACTGGGTGAAAGTACGTTTCGAGTCTCTGTCTTCAAAGCAAATCATCCTCGTTGCCAAGAAATTTGTGTATGTTTATTCGTGTCTGTTGAGATCAAAGGTCGCGTGTCATATAGCCGGTAAGAGAATTATGGTAATAAGCTAGTTCGACTAAAACCAACAGATCTTTAAGAACAGATATGTCTACAAAAGCAGTTTAAACAGATGCCGTTATATTATATAGCTATGCTAGTTAAAATAAATTAAAATGCATCTTCGTTTACATAATACATACATACGATATTTCACAGTGTATGGGTACATGGTGGTGTTTCTATTAATTGCCTATTTTATTACGTATAATCCCCTTATACGAAATTGGACACGATGCAACTACAGAATAATGTAGCAAGGTATAATTGTCGTGTCTTCACAAAGGTTGTATTGCTGAAATCGTGTATCTTTAATATGAATAATTATGGTATCAAATGCTACCCTTGTAGCATACCAATTATAGTTTACTCTAACCTAACGTTTTACGACAGATAGAGTGTAGAGGCATTGAATTGGATAATTAATTTGGGTAATTGACTCTTGGGGTCAAATGTGAAATTAAATGAAATGGAGTTTAAAGTCCTACTTCTCTAGGGGTTAATAAGGAAGTGTATGCAGATCCCGGTGAAAGACATTTGAATTTTCGTTTTAAATCATTTCAATATATTGTTAGGAGACGAAGTATGCAGAATAATGTAGCAAGGTATAATTGTCGTGTCTTCACAAAGGTTGTATTGCTGAAATCGTGTATCTTTAATATGAATAATTATGGTATCAAATGCTACCCTTGTAGCATACCAATTATAGTTTACTCTAACCTAACGTTTTACGACAGATAGAGTGTAGAGGCATTGAATTGGATAATTAATTTGGGTAATTGACTCTTGGGGTCAAATGTGAAATTAAATGAAATGGAGTTTAAAGTCCTACTTCTCTAGGGGTTAATAAGGAAGTGTATGCAGATCCCGGTGAAAGACATTTGAATTTTCGTTTTAAATCATTTCAATATATTGTTAGGAGACGAAGTATGCGATATCGTATCCTTTCGATTCGGGTTGAACGTTCTGCGAATCTACGGGGGTAAATCGTAGCAGCTGTGTATTAATAAAAAAAAACATAATTTTCACAAATACAAACACGTGGACTAATTCATCACAGTCAATATAGAATGCATATGTTATGTATGAATGCGTTAAATAGTTTAGTATAATTACCGCATCTCATATGTAGGCTATTAATTCATTCTGTCAAAATCAACCTTGTTACACTATAAACAAAATAACTTCAAAGGAGAGAGATTTGTATTCAATTTTACTAGATGAAAGACCAGGAATTCAAACGACTAAAGTAATCAATAACGCACGTTACATAGATAATGTCAACCAGAACCATTTAACTCTATACAAATAGCTGATTTTCAGTTCTTGTTTTTCTCGTATGTTTTAGCAACATAACCTTGGCAGAACGTATCACTTCTTCTTTGAACATTTGTTGTTGTGGGTCTTGTTGGTGTTTCAGTTTTCGTATATTATGCAGTTTTGATATCTTACCCTGCATACTAAAAATTCTCTACATAGTTACTTGATCTAGAAAAATGGGTTTATTCTTACTATATTACCAAGAGATATTATAATTACAGCGACGCTGTCTTTCAAATACGTAAAACTATCCCAGTAACCTACATTTAAGTAAAGGCAGTCCCCAGTCAATATCATCCTCCATCTTTATTATTATCCCCAATCTCTAATTATAACAATGGGAGGGAAACAAACAATCCCATCACTCAACTTGGTTCTAGAAAATGTTTTGTTGGTATTTGAAGATTTTCGAACGTCCGCTGTGCTATTGTTAAACGCAATGTGTGTTTAATGTAACAATCATTGAATCTTTGACGCAGTTTTGACTTAAAGCGCCTTTAATATAATTCTCTCGTAACATCAATTATTCTTTTGAATCGTAATCGTAATGAAATACGTCTACTTTTCGCCCCAGTAGTCCGAGCATGTGCGGTATGGGACATTTTTTGAATAAGTTGAAGGGATTATTTTGTGGATTTTATTGAGTGTATCACGCTCCATTTAGTTGGCTGTGTTTGGTTTATTCTTGTATTTGAAAAGCAGACGATAAACTGAGTGAGTTCAGGGCCAAGTTGTTACTTCGAATATGTACCTGTTATGCAAACTGGAGAATGAAGAAGCTCCTTTATTCAAAATGCCAAGCATACGATATAGGCTGACTCAGCATGATCAAGTAATATAGTAGAATAAAGATAACTTTTATTAATTGATCGTTAATTACAGTTAATTACTCATAACAAGATTCATTTCTTACATCTGTCAAAAACAACAAAACTAAACTGAATGACTAGCTAAATAATTTCCACATGATTTCTTTTAAATCAGAAATATTAATGCTTCTAATCATTAATCATCATCGTGGGGTGCTGAACAATATAAAATAAGTATCAGTTTCCTAGTGCTAAATGTAATGTTTATAGTATAGCCAGCAGATTCGTAATCATCATAATCTGGTATTATAGTTTTTAAAGTTCTCGGAGATGCTTTGGTATTATAGTTTTTAAGTTGCAAATGTGAAAAAAAGTGTGGCTGTAAACTGTTTAAGTGACGTTATGCCATTCAGAAAATCGGTATGTATACCCATCGGTATAGCAAGGGTTCTTTGCGCCCGGGGGCAAATATACTTTTATGAGTAATCCTAATTCCGGCCTGTTTTGAACAAAAATATTAATCTGAAATAGGGAAGAGAATATGGTAAACGGCAGAAAAAAATGTCAGTCTTTTCACTCATGCGGCGTGGGATATTGTCTGCCCCTTCATCGTTACTGTGTATTCCAAATAGTAAAACATCAGATTTATATGAATCAAAGTATAGTACAAAACACCTGTGATAATTACACTAATATCTTAAATGTACCATTGAAAATATTCATAAGTAATTCAGTCGGGTAAAGAGTACATAGATTGTCTTTAGTTGTCGACTTTAAATCGTCTTATTTGCTCGTATTTTACGACAAAAGTGGAATAAACAGGTTAAAGATTTAATAGGGTCATGTCACTTTAATCCCATGCTTAGTGAGGCTTTTATCAATTTATTTATGATGAATCTCTTGTCATATATAAATATAATATACACCTCAAATAGCATAATGAATTCTGACAAGGCAGGGCCATAAATCTTTCCTTTTTCACACAGACATTTTTCCTTTCAAAATTTTTACTTTACTTTCTTGACGTAAATGTCCTACAGACCTAAAACGTTTACTGAATAAAATTTATGAACGCGCTCTTTACGTAATTATGTGTATTTATAACAACAAAGGAATTTAGGGACACTTGCGACAATAATGCCGATGCGTATTGCTATCTTTGATGCGATTCCTAAAAATGCGTTTTGTCAGTCTATAGTCTACGAAATTACAGCACACCAATGTTTCTAGTTCTTTGGGTTGTCTGAGAAGAAACTGCGTCAAAATATTAGTGAAGATGACAAATTTCCACTTCACTTTGCACATATTATGTTTAGTTAATTATGTCTGTTCTCTCGATTTCAGTTGATTATGGGTTTGTTGGTGTTTTTACTCTATTATTTGAAGAAAGCTAACCTGTTCTTGAAATCACGTAACACAAATAAAGAATTTAATCAAAATAAAGAGATGCAATCAAACTTCCATTTTCAAATAACATAAACATCGATTTCAACTTATTTCTGTCGAATGCATTAAGCTTTGAAAACATGTATAATGTTTCCACGTCCCACATCAAAGCTGATTATTTGAAATATTTGAGTAGCTAAATGGGTTCGTATCGACTAATTCTTATTAATGATATTATCTTATTAACTTGTCAGATTCACTGAATGTTGTCATATTTCGGCAGCCATAATACTTTTAGAAATCTATATAAAGCTAGCTATAGATCTAAAAATATTGATACTTGACTTATCAAATGCTTACAAAATAAATACAAAATAGTAACAAAAAGGGGGATTAATATTTGGTCGTGAACATTCTATGCTCTAGGATGACGCGATGGAATACAAATGGCCACTTAAGAAAATAATGGTTTACAAATGACATTATTAGAATACCTAGCGACATAATTGGCTCCTTTCAAATGTTGTTAAGAAGAGTATAGTGGTGTCTAAGATAAACTTGCTGATCTTAACGTAAAAACAGAATTACAAGATAAAATAACCCAATATATCATAACCCACATTTCTAATGTGGTATAAATAACTTTAATAATATTGCAATACCAACTGAAAAACTAAACATTCTTTTATAAGTAACTCTTAAAAAACTGCACTACTAACACAATAAGATATGTGGGTTTGAGACCCTATGGAATGATGGCAGTACAAGATAAAGTAACCCAATATACCTCATTCCGAAGGTTTTTTTGTATTCCCAGTGACTGCTGGTACCAGATAAATCTGACGATCTCTTAAACCATCATAGAAAATAGTATAAGTGATGACAGTATAATCTTCATCACTTCTTCTGAACAAATTATTGTTTAAGATGATGGATGACAGAATAAATTGCTGCTAGATGATGATAGCAATCATAACAAATTAGAGAAAAAAAACTTACCAATGTCAAAATAAAGAATCGTATTCCAAGACAGATCATGGTTAAGTTTTCCTTGGCATCGTCCCACAAACATACACCTCTGCAGTAGCTTATCCCATGAGATTAACAGTACAGTCTTTTAGGAACATATCTCTTACAAAGTCTGTTTTTGATATACCCTTCGATAGTAACTGATAGAAATTTTCACATCTTTGCTAAGATCTATCTGAAAAGACAAAAACGCAAAAAATACAAATAAAACGATTTTCGGGGTTTTACATAATATGTCTTAGTATGAGGACACTGTGATTACTCTATGATTAAATTAAATGTCAAATTTATGTCCATATCACTTTATGATTCGCTCGATTAATTCATGCATTACTACCAGAAACATCCACTAATAATGCGACAAAACGCTTTCTAAATAAATACAAAGACGTTTCTGGTTAGTTAGCCATATGATTAATCATAATAATAATATTTTCTATTTGTAGCGATCTTTAAATACAGATTGAATACCATAATTAATATATAGTTTACGTTGGTTCTCCAGCACTACATGTACCTTTATTCCGGTTTTGGATTTCAAATTAAATGTAATAAAAAACCACGCCTATTATAGTTATAGCAAATATTTGGGTTCAGAATAGTATCCATAGCGCACGATAACAATGTACTGTAGGTCATTGCTCAGAAAGCTGCTAATACAACAGCCCCGTTAGCACAATATATAAATATGTCTAACATTCACTTCATGTATATAAATACAATATATGATCTTATCATAACAAAATAGGTTTTCTCTATGTAGATCTAGGCTAACATGCATTATATAGCGTACAATAAAGTTATGTTTATGATATTGTCCCTGCCTTATATTACTAGTTACATGTCACTAGACCCGTTATTTCAGTTATACGACATACCGTAGTCAACAGAACTGGTTTCACATTTGTTAAATTATTTTAATGTAAAATATGTTTAATATATATTTAAAGAAAGTATCCGGTTTCATAGTATTCATAATTGCATATGGAGTCACAATGTAGTAACATGCGTAGAGCTGGTGCCATGTTTATGCTAGTATGTCCAGAACAAACGTTACTATTCAAAATATAAATGTCATTTAATAAAGAAGAATAATTTTTATTTTAACTTCTTCATACGGACAACGTCAAAGTTGCTAAAATATACTATCCAATATTTCAAAGAAACCAAAGCATTCTTCTGTTAGAGGCAATGGAAACAGGTTTACCCATAGCGTTGTATAGTCTTCCATATTCAGATCATCAATATCGAGAAATATCATCTTCCCAAAGCACAATGAAGACAGATAAGACATGACATATTTTTTGTTAATTTCATCCTGAATGTGGTGGCACCGACGACACACATTTTTATTGCTGCCCGTCAAATCAAAAAGTTATGAAACCATTAAAGACTGCATGCAATGAAGAGAGTGTAAGTTCGTGTCCTTGGCAAAGTCCTCTACTGACCCAGTCAGTATTCAAAATTGATAAAAGTCTTCTTCGTCTGTTAGCCGTGTCACTTCTGATATTATGTAAGCCAAATAATATAGCCGGAATGTTGCTTTGGTGATAGTGCTTATTCAGATTTGTTCAAATGGGGCTGGGCACCTAAAAAACAAGTTATGTTACATTTTTACTTCTTCTTCGGAACCACTTGATGGATTTCAACTAAATTTGGTGGGTATAATAGTCCGTGTATCGTACTTCTTTGTTCATACCAAGCACACCCCAGCTCTTGCATTGAAAGCCTGTATTTTTTAAATCTAATATCCCAAAATGATGAAACACATGTTGGAAATATGAAGTAGTGCAGGCAACCAACATGTGTTTAGACAGCAGGTCTTGTGAGCTTTTCCAGAAAAGACATAATGAACATATGGCATGCTATTTACATTATAATAAAACCCACATAATTGCAATTATAATTTATAAATAAAACTGAATATCATTACAGACATTAGTCTGGAATGTAGTTTAATTATATTTGTTACGAAAAGGGCGGCACAAACTATAAAAACACCTTCATCAGACAGTTTATACAAAATAATTGCAGTTCAACAATTTGGCTTTTTTTATTTTACAATAAACTTGTCGTTGATAATGAAGTTCTGCATCAGATGAAAACAGCTATAATTTCCAATGGTTCCTTCAATACGGTACTTAGGTAATAACATCGGTATGTGTCACAAAAAAACACCTACTTTTACAAGCGTTCACTGAATTTTCTAAGTCTATTTGCAAATAGTCATGATTTATTGATATATTTTTGTCACATTAAAATATAGAAATTAATATATAGCCTTACGTGTAGTACAATTTCTATCAAATGTGTCAACCGCATGTCCGCCCTGGATACATCAAATTAGATGTCCCAGAAAATTTATAAAACAATGTTAAGTGGTTTTAAATTAAGGTGGTTGTTTTACATTCCTTCTGTTGAGTTCGGGTACATGCAATATGTTAAGTGTACATGTAGGTCGAATCAAAATTATTTTATTTGCATAGTGCATACTTGTATGATAATGAAGACGGGGTTTATCACAATGAGATCAAAAAGAACATTAGTCATGTGTTACAATTGTCTTTCATATATTTGCATGTAGCCTCTACATTACACATTTACATCTAGGTTTCTATCCTTACCAACAGGTACACCTAATCAACAATTGGACGATTATTCTACCAAACACGAAGCTTTACGTGACACCAAATAAACGGTTTAAATATAGTACTTCGTTTAACTTTTTAACACAACGTCTGAGAATCTCTAGTATTTAAATAGTAATAAACAATGTCATTTTTACATTCATCAAAAATAAGAGAAGAAATAAAATATGACATAGCTTTAGTAAAACATATGTCCTACACTACTTATAAAACTTACTTATAAACCTGATACTAGTATGCGTAGCTTCCTTAGTACACCAGAGCTTTTAAATCGATCTTCGGGGTCTATTTGATTCTTGTGTGCGATATCCTCCAAAGTCGAAGGAGATGTTAACCCCTAGTATTCGTACTCTTTGCTTCCGATCTTCCAACTAATTAAATCCGAACAAGACCTGTTAATGATGGTTGTCAACAGCGTCTTTAGAAGACAATCGCCCTCCCTTATCATTCCGTCAGTGGCCATTCATACATTGATCCTTGTTACGACCATGTTAATAGAGTTAATTTAGATCTTGCTTGTCGATTTCTCCTTTCAACAGGCATATATAGAAAGGTTGACGAGTTAATTTAGATGTTTTTACGGATATGGTCGACCATCAATTAACTAGCTGAAAGAATCGTAACTAGCTTCTGGTAACTTTTCTTTTTGAATAGTTTTTCCGTTTAACTGGGAACGGCTGTTTCCTGTCTACATGTTATTTAACTGATTGTAAATCGCTCACCAACTCACTCATGTCTCTCTTTTAATCGCAAAATCTTCATAGGCTACTGACATAATTTTATAGACTTTCCTCTATAACTCGTTTTCTTTGTAAGTAAGTGCAAAAGGAAACTTTTCTATAGGCAAAAGTCAAAAAGCAATTCCCAAGCTGATTGATTATAACGGTTCGTGTTAGGTGTACTTTGAATTTTGTAATTATGCGAAACTCGTGGGTTTATGTGGTTATACTATCTATATACCATGTGGTGATGAATGAATATAGAGACTTGCGCGGGTTGAATTCGTTTTTGTACCATCCGAACGACTGGGCACTTTTTACTTGTCAGCCTCACAGTCCCGGGCTATTCTATTGCCCTTCCCGCTCGACTTACTTGGAATGCCAGTTTGTTCATTATCAAACTTTTTGGTTTTCGTTGCTTATCTGGTCTGGTCTGGTCTTTCAACGTCCGCTTGCACAATAGTGACATGGTAGGCCTACTCAATCATTGCTTATCTCAGCAGTGTAGTTGTTATACTCGTGTGTTTTGTTGGGTGTCGTTGGTCTATCACTCATTGGTCCGAAGATGGTGGATTTAAGGGGGTTCTATTACTGCATTAAGAGTGAGTGCATTTACATAATTTTCGGAATAATTACCTTAATTAACGTAAATTACGTTTTAGGCGTATGTCACATATAATTTTATCAGCAAATAATAGTTAATTATCCAGTAACACACGTCCCCACCCTCGTCCGACCAGCGGGCCGGACCAAAACCAGGACCCCATTTTTATACCACCAATTTACCTTCATTGATAACACATTAGTCTGATATTTTAGACCGCAATATTATTTACGACTGTGTTATTCTGAATTGGGGGAATGTTTAAAATAACTGTAGCCAAAGTACTTGATTCAAAAAATGAATTTAAAAAGGTACATCCATCATAATGGAGGCTTAGTTTCAAAGCCCTAGGGCTAAGAGGGGATTATGGTTACAGCGCCATGTTATGGTAAAGGTTGTACCTATAGACCTACAGATACCTATCTTATTTGCTATTTAATTATAGTGACATAAGTAGAGGCTTTAAACGATAAGTACATATACAATGATAAGAAAATTAGTAACTAAAAGTTGTAGATGCCAAACAATAGTACAAAATGACCTGCGGATCAAAGGAAAAAATTATCTCAATAAAAGAAGTTAACATCTTTCTTGGCTACGAGTTATAAAATTCAACTGTACGGTGGCTTTGTAAAACGAACTTAAAAATCGTACTTTCTGCACTTTGTTGATCCAAGGCAATGACTTCTTTATTACTTAATGCCAGTCTCTCGGACTTTATACTTATAAATACACTGAATGAGATTATATGTTTTCGTTGCTGAGCACATCAAACTATAACAATCATTTTATAACATAAACAAATCTTCTGATCTCGGTTTGATTTGAGCCGATATGCATAATAATGGCGCTTGTATTGAATGCAGAATTCTAGCATTAAAACTTATATTTGTTCATACTTATTTATAAAGTATATATAACAGAAGTTATGAGGGGCTAGTTTTATGTCTAAAGACTATAAAAATATCGTAAGTAAACTATATGATCACCAAGGGCTCAACATCAAAGGCAATGTCACTCCCCATAATAGCGCTCCAGGTGTCTTAAATGGCAAAGACTTAAACGTTTTTGCACCTTTGACACAATTTTGGCGCTATGGGATATGTACGTAAAGTACTATTTGGTGTATAGTGTTTTGAGGTTATAGGTTTTTCCATGACTACTCGTTGACTACCAGTGTTTGAATAGAACTTTAAAATAAATGTCACCCGTCATAGAGTGTAAACGATGATCTTCTTGGGATTTTTTTTTCTTCTTTCTGAGTCGCAACTTCTTACAAAACAATATCTAGTTGTGTGGGTATATGGTTTACATTTGTAACAATATTTTGGATTAAAACAGTTGTACGTGAATCAAGTATTTCTTGGCTGTTGGGTAAAGAGCTGGTTATGAAATGAACGATGTTCGTAGACTGTTGACTCGCACGGTCCATTCTTGTCCGAAGAATTAAATGGTTAAAGATTCTCATTTGAGCTTCTTAAAGTAGTTCTCAAATATATTAATGGTCGTCAATGTTATCAACATAATAATGACCGTTGTCGAATATATGCTTTACATAGCACATTCTTTACAAAACATTTTTATTTATTTATTGTATTTGCTATAAGTTATGTAACTTTCAACAATAAAAGATATTTACTTACGTAGATTCGGAATAAGAATAGATCGTAGCGCCGCTGTCTGGGCACAATTACCCTCATCGCACATTGTGTAACGTATGTTCATTATCTCAATTTGATCAGAAATGCAGGGCGTTAAATCTCATTTCATTCCTCTCTCAGTTGTGGGCTTAAAATTGACCGTAACTGATTTAACTAGAAATATATTTAGTTTTTTCTCGATTTTATGCCATTTATACAGAATAGTGTCCATAGACCGGGAACAATAAAACATTGTATATCATATGATGAGATAAACGTTTTTAATATTACTCAAATAGATAGGTAGATATACAGACTAAAAAATATACCATATCATAAAATACTCTTCTTCTCAACAGTAAGTAATTGTATATGAAGGTAATTTTATCGCTATCAGTAGTTTAAGATTGCTCTCTTCAACGTAATATAATCATTATATCAGAAAGCATACTAAAAAATATAACATGATATCAGAGAGACTACTAACAATTACTTGTTCATAAAAATACCAAAGATACTCATTATAACTAGTGTACGACAAACTTATTATATTTTACTGATAAACACATAAAAACACCACACCTATTCATTTACTTGTTCGCCGTGCTATAGCTTGATTAAAATGTGAAAAGACAGGCTTGGTAAGATACTAAAACACACTATAATACCACATAAACTACAATAGCCCGATTCTTGAAATGAAATGACAAAATAATTATTCGTGTTTTCTGAAGAGGGGTTCAGTCTTATAATGGTTAGCTACTCGTTTCAGTCATTGTTATATTCAATAGTACACAAAGCGATAACTTCTTCAGTTTTCACGAAAACATCCTTTTTGTAACATTATAATCTTATGCAGTCGTCTTAGAAACGCACATCCGTTTTGGGACTTTCTTTACAATAAAAGTAACCACTGTTATAATATGTTAATAAATATTAAATTAAAGCTGTAAAAACCAAATTGAGCTCTAATTGAAATTTAAAAAATTAAACCGCTAATACGAGAGACCAGTTGGTAGACTGAATTGTTAAGAAAAAAAGGGGGCTGTCAGTATTTTGTTTGCTTTTAAGGTCTAAATATATCAGAAATCTTTATACTATTATCTTTCAATTGGGTCTGTAAACATCAATTTTAACAGGTATAAGTATGTACGTAATAGTAAGTAAACTGATAAACTTCAACATATAAGGGTAATATATACCGATTAAGATTGCATACATTATTGAGTATATAACAGATTACTAAATAGTAGGACATTCCCCAATCAGATATGTGACCATTAAATGAAATCCAAATATTTAACGCTAGTGAAAAAATGATAAAATAAATTAATTAGCATAAGTTCTTGAATATATAGTCATGGTCCACAACAAAATTATTTTAACCAGGTATACTCAAGTTAAATAATAAACTTCAGTTACATGGTACTTGTTCAGATTGCAATCAAAAACATTAACATTGATGAACAAAAGCAATCACTATCTAATATTATACAATATAGAATCTAACACCTATTCAAATTATTATTGAACAAAGACAACAAACTGAATGTACCGATTACTTCAAATTAGTTAATTAGTCAGATTGGGATTAAGAATATAAATGAATAAAAACTTACGAAATAGTATTCTTGAATTAAGATGTAATAATCCACACGAAATCCAAATATTCAAAAATGGAAAAGCAAACTTTTTGTCTTATGAATACTTGATATTGTTATTTCACTGTGACTAAGAAATACATGAATATCTGGTAATAATCCTTATAGTTTGATACACATCTCTAGTCGACCATATAACACTCATTGACGATTGGTTAGCACTCCTGTCGTCTGCTATTATTTTAGCCTACCACAGACTGGGAGCAGAAGTGACCAATGGCTAACGGGTATTTAGATACAGCTGAAAGATATGACTGAAACTTCTTAAACTTCTTTTTAGTTAAAGCGCTATTTCAGCCCAGTCTTCGTCACTTCACTACTACACATGCTACACGCGATCATGAATACTCTACTACAAGTGTTCTAAATATCGTAAAACCACAAACTGACAATGGCCTCTCTTGAGTGAAAAATCTGCCCCACTTGTATTATTCAGCAGTGGCACTTCGGTCACCTAAAGCTCAAGACTTCACAACTTGTAGGACGATTACGTAAACGGAATTAGCTGGCGAACATTCCAATGGTGCGAATACGTCAGAATTGGGTATTCATCTCAGACATGCCCGTCACACTTGGTTGAAATGGTTGAATAGAGTCGGATACATACATTTCAAACTTAAGACACTTAAAGGGGCCCAAAACAAGTAAAATAACAAGGTATTGCATGTATGTGTGAAGTTATTTCGCCACGAGGTATTTCAAGGGACCTCATGTGTTTTTGCCACATGTAATCTACCTAATCTAGTCCGCCGTTTTGAATAGTGTATATTTGGTTAATATTTGAATGAAGTTAGTACAGGTGCCGATTATGGCCTTTGGTGTGAACCAAGTGGAACATAAAAAGTGTTTTAATTTTGTGTACCCAGTGTATGTTATGTAACTTGCAAATACCTATAAGGGAACTATACGAATACTTGGGTAATATCAGTGTGGCCTCTGAGACGCTGTTATTATTCACGCACATCATAAAGTTCCTCGTATCCATGCTCTGACTCAGATGATATGAGAGAGAGAGGGAGAGAAATGGGGTTTAACGTCCACTCGACACAGACTAGGTCACTTCGGGACTAACACATGGTTCAATTTTATTTTAATAATTCGCTAGCGCGCGTAGGGGTATTTAGCCGTGGGAGGAAATCTGAAGACCCGGAGTCAACCCACGACTTTGGACAGGCGACCCTACTCCTTGTCACGTACAATCGGGAAATCGAAACCACGCCAGTTGACTCAGATCATGTGGATAATAAAATGTTTTAGTTGACAAAAGAAAGTACATCCTAATTACATATATTACATAACTAGACCATACTTTGTTAAATACATGAACACCAAAATAAAAGGGTGCCCTGGTGGTTCAGAGAGTATGACGCTGGCTCAATCCCGCGACAAGATTTTCGAGCGTGGTTCCTCATGTCGGTGGTGCAGGACGGATGGGACGAAAACCGATGTTCCGTCTAAATGCTGGCGTGCACGTAAAAGAACCCTTGAATTGATTTGCTGTTCGGCTAAAATTTCCCTCACAGCACATTGTATGGCGTATGCCCGTCTTCATTTTTCCAAGTTGGTGCAGAACAGTAGGACGTTAAACCTCATCTCATTCATTGATTCGAAAGTAAAATCTTTGATAAATGACCTGACCCGACCTGTCATCTAGCCAATGAATAGGCCATTTTGGCTTCGACAAGAATAATTTTAACCTGTCGCAGTGGCTAAAATCATAGATTCGATAAAGAAGAAGTGGATTCGTATGTACTGTAAACCAACGAAAATTAAACATACATTATGCAAGAGCTAAATCTGCCTATTGCAGGTCTTTCTTTAGGCCTGAAATGCTCTAAATTATTAAGTAGACATTACCATAACCAACTGTCGATGTCGTCGCTAGCCTACAATGTTTATTGGATTAGGTTCCGATTTGCTATTCGACTTCCATTCATAATTTAATCATGAAATAGATAATCGAGACTATATTTTTTTATCGTACCGAATTTAGTAATGATGATCGAGGCTAGGCCGAAAATTCAATCGCTAAAATCTCGGTTCAGAGTGGATCAATTTGACTTAAATTTTCAGCAAATTCCCTTTACATTATCTAGTTTTTAACTATTATAGTGAGAAATGCCAGCTCTTTATCTAATCTCCCACAATGTATCTTTAAAATCGGAATGATCAAATTTAAATTTTTGTGAATGGCTCTCTTCTTTAATACATTTAAATTTCTGTACAATCAGGGACTCCTGAAAGCATAACATCAAAGTAACGCTAATTGGAGTTTACATTGGAATATTTACACCTAGTGTAAGTTAATCTATATATTTACATTCATTTACTCAAACTCACGTTTTAATGAATTTTTACTTTAAGTCAATGAAATGCCTGACAATCCAGATAAACCCCTTTCATATTTAGTTAGACTATAAATATATTGAACGGCAGATACGCCTACTGGTGTACTTATGTTTAGTGGAGCCACGGTGGCTCAGTGAGTAGGAAGTTGGCTCGCTAACCTCGTGGTCCCGTGGTTGATCCCTGCGTAAACCGAGAAAGTTCATCGGAATTTTCCGGAGTGGTTCCCCCTTGTCAGTGATGTAGGTCAGAGAATCTGTCAAGGGACAACCATCGGTAGGATGGTCCAAATATCCGGGGTCCCGTGTACACATTGGCGTACATTTAAAAGAACCCTTGCCAATTGCAATTCGATATAAGAGTAGGCCATAGTGCCGCTGACCTGGCAAAATTTCCCTCATAACACACTGCATGGTGTATGCCCGTTTCCATTAGCTAAGTAGGAACAGAACAGTAGTCCGTTAAACCCCATTTTATTTCATGTTTGGTGTACGTTGACTTTAAAAAGGGAAATAACTCCGTGATTAATCGACCGAAAAACACCCAAATTCGAACTTATCCGAGATATGGATATAAATAAAAACACACAGAGGTGCATTAAAGCAGGATGAAATCTGTATACGCCAAAATATTCGCAAACGAGAGTCGTCGGAGTGGGCCTCCGTCTACAAGACCCACGAACTGGAGAAAATGGGTTACGACAATATACGTAAAATTATAAAACTTTACGACGCAGTATGAATGAAATATATTCAGAATTCTAGATAACGTTTTAAGTGGTGTGTTTCTGCATATAATAGCGTGTGATATATCAACAATAAAAACTATTGTATGATAATCATCAATTCTATACTGTTTGGTAATTACGTGTATTTTATGTTTTCGTCGGAGACATAACGTCCCTTCAATAAGAAACTCTCCCCGAAACAAGTGCTAAATGAAATAAAATGGAGTTTAACTTCCTACTTTTCTGCTCCGACTGGGCTAATGAAGCATACGTCATGCAGTGTGCTATGAGGGAAATTTGAACGAACATCGGCGCTACGGCCTACTCTTATATCGAATTCCAAGAGTCAAGAGTTCTTTTACGTACACGCTAATGTGTGCACGGGACGTCGATTTTCCGTCCCATCCGAACGACTAGACAGTTGTCCTTGTATGGCCCTCCGCTCTGCACCATTGTGAAGGGGAAACAACGCCGGAAAATTCCGAGGAACTATCACTGATTTATAACTGCTTTATAACATTATTCCACAAATAAATGCAAATTTTAACTACAAGTGTTTTTGTGTAAACTATTTTTCTCATCTTTTGCACAAAACTCGTAGGTTTACACTGGTTGGTGGGCGAATGGTTCCAGAACCAAGTAAAATCGCACTGTTGTAAATCTGCCTGGTTTCAATGACTTATATAATGGCACCCGGGGAGTTAAAATAATATACAGTATATACTAGTCTGATCTTACTTAATCAAAACACAGAGTATATAAATTACAATAATATTACACAATTTATGACCGTTAATATAAATATTGTTTTATGATTGACACTTTGTATATAAATCCTATAAATCAGACAGGTTAGATGCCATCTTTACTATCACCACCCACGTTGACGTAGGTTTTTCTTCTCTTCATTCCAATTTTAAAGCCAGTTAAAGGATATTGTTCCTTTAATGAATTCTTTCGGATGTTTTCCAACTTGAAAGTATGTCATTTTAAAGCAACAATAAAAGTTCTGGAAGACTAATTAGTGAAATGTAATGGAATGAGGTGTTTGTCCTACCTTTCTTCTGCACCAACCGGGAGAATGAAGACGGGCATAATCCATGTCGGGGGCGTGGTGTCCCATGAATTTGCATGGGGAACAAGATCCCGCTCATGCCCCCAAAAAACAATATGCATATGTGTGTGCGGGCGGGGGGGGGGGTCCCTCCCAATGCCACCGGGTAATATTTAGCAGTGTGGAACATAAGAGTCGATTCGTAGCATATCTGATCCACGGTATAATGTTTGACACTGGTTAAGCAATATGATAATGATTATAATGTTGAAACCCGCATTGGAGCCGTGTGATTTTTTGCCATTTGCGAGGGGCACAAAAACTCAAGGAGGCGCAAAAACGCAAAAACATGACACCAAAATCGTACCTGAATCTCCGGCTTAGTAAGCCAGCGCATTACTCACTGAGCGACCGCGGTCCCCAAGAATATTTAGTATGGATATTTTATATTTTAAAAACAAATATTTGCAAGTTTTAGCATCTCTTGTTTCTATCAAAGTACAAAGCGTCGATTAATATTTTTCTTTCTGAATATTTAATTTAGTAGATTTATATTATGAATATATAAGAAGAATGGAATAATACATATTATTATAATCATACCTATAAAGAACCTGATTCTATAATAACCAGTTTGCTCATCCGATTACTGAATATTTAGATGATGCAGATTAACATTTATTGTGTGTGGCACTTGTATGTTTGTATTGTTAAAAGATCTAAATATATATAAACACCTGATAGTATTAGTAGTATCTAAAAAGAATGTGCAATGTTTATGCACATGTTTAAACGAAGCAACCTGTTTTATAACAACAATATATTATCTTGTTGACAGAAATATATCTGGATATACTTTAAAGATTGACATTTTTACATTTGCATTGTTAGATATCTGGCTGGTCCCGCAAAAACGCATGAATTCTGTGCCGACATTCCTTGTCAGGCATTACAGAATTCATTTGCCTATCTTTTTAAAAGAGACAAATTTTTATAGAAAATTTTATTTTGCATATACTTATTTTTTCATGTTATATATTTTAAATATTACAATGTATAAACTCTGTTATTTAATTTTAATTATGCTAACTCTGATACTTGTTTTTGTATATATTAATACATTATTTTGATTTGATTAATTTGTCTCGTAAATGTCATCATATGTTTGTCATCATTATGTCATCATATAGCCCGGTTGGAGCCGATGTGCCGTTAAACAACATTTCATATCATTCCTATGCCAACACTACTGTCACCATGCGAAAGCAACGAAGATAATAACATTCAGTATTGCATTCGTAAAAACGTTACTGACATTACGCCGTATTAAGGTTATTGATATTTTATTCTTACGAACGTTACTGACAAACCAAACGTTGGAACGTTACTCCAATCGTCCAAGGGTTACCGTCTGAATCGAGG